TACTCTGAAATGGAGGTGCAGTTTTGTTTTTAATTGCTACTTCTAGATGAGATGACCAGGGCTTACTTAGTTTAAATAACTTGCTTAAGGTAACTTAGCCTATAAGTGACAGGTCAAGAAGTGGGGGTAGACCATGGGATAAAGTATGCCCCTCCCACAGCACCCTTTGCTCATCAACTGGAGTAGTCTCTTTTTTTGTTGTTTATTTATAAACAGGGCCACTACCTTGCTTTTCTTTGAAGCCAGGGTTTTGTGGTTAAAGAATTTGAAAATTCCAGGCCAGTAGAACAAATTCAACCCTGGTGTGTCCTTTCCAGTCTCATACTTGCCCTCCCACCATTACATCTTCCTCTATACTTCTCCCCAAAATGCCCTTTCCTTTCTTCTGCAGGCAACAAGTTACTGTGCATCTCAAAGGCATTTTCCAGATCTCAGAACAATAGAATTGTTTTTTCTGCATGATTCCCCCATAGAAGGTCCATCCTACTGACCTAGAGGTGGTCAAATCTTTTAAAATAATGACTGACAAGTCTATTTCTACCACATGACTGAGTCTGGAAAAGTTGGACCAGACCTGTTTCCTCTCTGGAGCACCTCAGCTTTGTTCAGAATCTGACATGGAACACAGGGGGCTCAATCAGTGTTTGGTAACTGATGCTGAGTGGGCGCTCAGAACTAGCCAGCCAAGGTCAGAGCCTGGAATACACCCCCTACCACCAACCATCACCATGCCCACTCACAGAACTCTATGAATGGGAGGTGTAGATGATGAGATGTATTAATCACTGCTTTGGAAAGAAATTAAAATATTTCCATAATACAATATGTTTCTTTTCTAAAACAGATGTGTCCTTATTGTTTCATGAGGGAGTAATTAAATGTGTTTGATTAAACATTTATAAATGCTATCATTTATTCAAAGCTTATATTGCTGTGTTTGTTGGTATTTTTAATCTGTCATATCTGCTTTTCCCAATCATTCTTTAAAATCTTCATTTTAGAGACAAGGAAACTGAGGCTCAGAAAGATTAAATAGCTTGCCCAAAGATAGTCAGGTTTTTTTTTTTTTTTTTTGGCTGGGGATTGAACCCAGGGCCTTGTGCATTCAAGGCACACACTCTACCAACTGAGCTATATCCCCAGCCCTGATAGTCAACTTTTGAATGAACGAGATTGATCTGCAAATGAGATTGATCTTCAAAACCAGTTCGTTGCCATTACCCTAAATGTCTGGTCTTGTATTTTCAGCTCAGCACTCCAAACTGGCATGCATTTGCCTTCTTCCTCCCAGCCCTTCCTGTGTCCAGCATCCCCTGCTCTTTCCCTCTTTCACCCTTTCCCCACTCCTCATTGTGCCTCCTTCTCCATTTCCTGTTAGAATCTTTTAGATGATTGAGTCTGTATTTGTATCCTGAAGCAGAAATGTTTTTGACAATATCAATACTAATTGTACACTATCTCATTTAGAAACTGGTGTTAATTGTGTGGTAATGTCATATTTGTATTAACAGATACTACAAAATAATACATTTTAAGAAGATCAAATCACATATGATTTTGGTTTTTTTTTTTTTTAATATTTATTTTTCAGTACTTGGCGGACACAACATCTTTGTTTGTATGTGGTGCTGAGGATCGAACCCAGGCCGCACGCATGCCAGGCGAGCGAGCTACCGCTTGAGCCACATCCCCAGCCCTGGTTTTTTTTTTATATAACCTTTTACTAGTAAGATTTTTGGGTCCCAATTTATATTTTTTTAAAAAATATATATATATCTATGTATAATTACAGTGCACTAGTAAAAATATTTTTTCTTCCATTTAAAATATAACAATGTATTGTAAAGTTGGTTAGAAGATTTTCTAAAGCAGTGGAATATCTATTTCAAGTTATATATGAAAAACAAGATTGAAATACTTCAATGAGCTCTTTTTAGGGAAGTTTAAGAGGTTTCTTACAGTCTTAAATGCATTTATTTTCTGCCCCTCCTAGGATTTCAGCAGGATTAAGTTTTTTGAATCAGTGGATCAAGTTTTAATTTTCCTGTTCCTTCCTTACACTGACATATGCTTTGGCAGAACAAAAAAGAGACCTAAACATGTCAGCATGATTTTTGTTCAATGAATTAAAAACCATAAAAGTAACAAGATCTGATCCAAATCCCTAAACTCCTGACATGGTGGTTTTGTCCTTTTTAGCCCCAAGATTCATGTTACTGACTTTGAAAAGCTCTCTGTCTGGAAGCAGAAGTGCATGATTTATTTGAAATAGATTATAAGGGGTAAGCAGCCTGGAGTAGTGGAAAGAATACAGTCCAGAAAGATTTGAATTTGAATCCCAGTTCTGTCACTCAAGCCCCTTGGCAAGTCCCTTGACATCTGTGAGCCTCAATTTCCGCATTGGAAAATGGGGGTATTAGACTTCAATCTGAAGAATTGTTGTGAGAATCAGTGAGACCACATATTCAGAAGTACTCACCTGGTATAGAGGGGTTTAATAGCGATAGTGATCAGAATCATTTTTATTTTGAGAATACTTTCAAGTAGGTCAGTCCAGAAGAATTTACTTATAATACAACCGTCCACTTCATTTTCAGAGCTTTTCCTTTCTTAGAATTCTTTGAATTCTTTTTCTCATCAGAGAAAATATCAGATAGGTATCACTAAATGTTCAGTAGCTACTTATCACTATTCCACACTGAACATGTACCCAGAATGTGGAATTATCCTTACTCAGCAAGAACCACACTGATTTGAGGGCCAGGGAGCAAATACCAGTGATGTTAATTTCAGGACAGAGAAATTTTGTTATACTCAGAACTTCATTGACTTTTGAGACAGGTCAGCTTGAGTTTGACTTTGAATAAGATAGTAAACTCTCTTTGGACCTCATTTTCTTTATTTATAAAATGGGGTTCATGGCCTTATAAAAGACCCTCCATGATATGGCTTCCTAGCCTTTTCTCTCTCTTTAAAAAAAAAAAAATATATATATATATATATATATATATATTATAAATTTTTTTCCCTGTTCCTTCCTTACACTGACATATGCTTTGACAGAACAAAAAAAGAGACCTAAACATGTCAGCATGATTTTTGTTCAATGAATTAAAAAATTAAAATTTATATATACATAAATTTATATATATATATAAATTTCTGCTCAGATTTTATTGGCCATTTCATTTTTATGTTGAGAATACATTCAAGTAGGTCAGTCCAGAAGGGACTGAAAGCTGTGTAGCTTAGTTTTGGAAGGGGTCAAAACGTGCATTTCTCCTGTGTGCCCAGAAGGATAAGAACCATAATACTGGTAAACGGACCTAATGACTATCATGTTTAGATATCATTTCTCCAGAAAAACCTTCCCTTACTGCCCCCTCCCTAAACTTGTTGGACAGTCCTTGGTGATTTAGCTGAGTGGGTTTTTTCCTGTGGCACCTTGGCCTTCCCCATATCCCTTTCCATAGCACTGCTCATACTCCATTGTAAATGTCACTGCTTGCTTCACTCCTATTGCAGCTCCTTAAGAGCAAACAGTGGTCTGTCATCTTCATGGTAATATCCTCAGTGCTTAGCACTCAGTTTATAAAATGGAAAAAAGTTTTGATAAGTGGTAGGCACTCAGTTTATACAAATGGAAAAAGGAAGGCCGGGCAAACATGCTAGGCTAGTTTGCTAGGTTGTTGTGATTATTGAATGTAAACTAATAACTATCTCGTGGTGGTTGTAAGGATTAGTGTATAAGTGCCTGTCTCAGTGGCCTATTGTCAGCCTTCAGTATACTCTTTGCTGTTATGATGAGGATATTAAGTAAAAACTAATATTTATTAAACATTTATAATGTGATAGACACTTCCTGGGTACTTTTTGGAAGTTAACTGGCATAGTGGTTAGCACATGTTACATTGTGACTCGTGTTACATATTATTTGGTTTTGAGATCAATTGAAAGTCATTTGTTTTAATAAGATTATGAAGTTACTACTTGTTTTAGATGATTTAGCGATCAGAGATGCTGCTATTTCTATAACATCATTACTTATTTGCATTGCTTTCTTTAGCAGGAAGGAGGTGGAGTTATGGCTCATTTTTTATTGTTTAATTGAGCACTTAAAATGTACTGGGGTCAGTGCTAAATAATTCACATGTATCATCTCATTAATTTTTTACATCACTCTTTGAATCCACATTAGATGGACACTCTGAGGAAAGGAGACCATGTTATGTCTCATTAGTAGCATGATCAGAATTTGACCCCAGGTCTGTGTAAACTTCCTCTTGTACTTTTAACAGTATTCTTTTTGAAAATTTTTTGTTTGTTCTTTTTAGTTATTCATGACAGTATTTTGACATATCATACATACATGGAGTATAACTTCCCATTTTTTTGTGGTTATACATGATGTGGAGTTATACTGGTCATGTATTCATATAAGAATATAAGAAAGTTATGACCTATTCATTCTACTGTCTTTCCTATTTCCACCTTCTTCCCTTCATTTAAAATTCCCTTTTGTCTAATCCAGTGAACTTCTCTTCTTCTGCCACTACCCCAGTTACAGTGTGCTAGCATCTGCATATAAGAGAGAACATTTGGCCCTTGTTTTTTTGGGGATTGGCTTATTTTCACTTGGCAAGATAATCTCCATTACCATCCATTTACTGGCAAATGCCATAATTTCATTCTTTATGGCTGAGTAATATTCCATTGTATATGTATACCATGTTTTCTTTATCCATTCATCTGTTGAAGGGCACCTAGGTTGATTCCATAGCTTACCTATTGTGAATTGAGCTTTTAAGCAGTATTCTTATGGGCTGTCCTTAGCTAACTCAACATACTTGACCTTGAGCATATCCACAGGCATGTGTCAAGAATGTTCAGAGTAAAAGTTATAGACTGTGGAGCTAATTGAGTGGTATTAAATTCTTTGCTAGAGGCTAATGTCTAGATGATTTTGTTGATTTTTTTGTTGTTGTTTTTTCTTTTATCAGAGTAACCAGGGAGCACAGGGAAATGCTGGTGAAACTGGCCAAACAGAACACCAACAAGGCCAAGGACTCTTTACGGAGGGTTCGCACCAATGCGATGAATAAGCTGAAGAAATCAAAAGACAAGACTTCGGAAGATACCATTAGGCTCATAGAGAAGCAGGTACTATTGCCGACAGATGTAGAGTTTATGTTTCCAACCCAAGGAATCATTCATTCATGTGTGAAGCAAAGACAGTTTAAACAAACGTCTCTGGTCCTTTCATTCACATGACAATATTGACCAAGTCTCTGTCCTCATGCTGGGCCCTGGAGGGATCCATAAAAGAGGATAAGATGCTGTTGACTTTTTATTTGTGCTAGGCTCTCTGCCAAACACTTTATATTACTTCATTTATTCTCGTCACTACAGAACTGTGAGGAAAAGTTCAGTGACGAGCCCAATCATGTTGCTGGTACATGGAAGAAAGGGCATCCAGAGACAGGCAGGCTGATCACAGAGCCTACCTGCTAATGCTCTCTTCTCTGGTTTTCTGGTTGCTGAGAAGTAAGTACTTACGTTGTCAGTGTGCTGAGTAGTAGCACTTGAGCAAGTCTTAAAGGAGCTCTTGGATAAAAGAGTGAGAGACAAGAAGAAAAGAGACAAGAACAGCATGTGCACCGGGATGATGATATAAAAGAGCCTTGTCACATAGATCAGTGGGGCTTTAACCTAGGCTGAGACTAGGGAGTGAGTAGAGAAGATAGAAGGTCTTGAAGACCAGGTTGAGGAGTTTAAATTTTAACATGACCATAGTTTCCCACATTGGCTGTGCATCCATAATAGTCACCTGTGGCCGCAGTAATGCTGAATGACCAACTACTTCAAAACTCAGTGATTTGTAGTTTCAAAGCATTATTTGTTATTCTTGTTTCCATGGTTAAGCTAGGTAGTAGCTGTTCTAGGCTGGGCTCTCAGGGAACTTGGCTGCAGATCTTGGACTGGGTTCAAGTCTGCTTTATAAAAGTCTTCCAGAGTCAATAAATTTCCAGGGCGTCTTTACTTGGCAACAGCAGGTGCCACTGTGCCTGGCTCTCCCTTCTTTGTGTTGATTATTATTATTTTTTTCAAAGCAAAAATAACTTCCATTAGTTTTCCTAATACTTAAGTAATACATGTTTATTATAAAAGGAATGAAGTGCTGGGTGTGGTGGTGCATGCCTGTAATCCCCGGGACTTGGACAGCTGAGTCAGGAGGATCGCAAGCTCAAGGAAACTTCATGAGGCCTAAGTAACTTAGTGAAACCCTGTTTCAAATTAGAAAATAAAAAGGGCTGGAGATGTGACTCAGTGGTTAAGCACTCCTGGGTTTAATCCCCAGTGCCCCCCCAAAAAAAAGTAATGAAGAAAGTCATTGAAGTCTTGTCACTAAGAGGTGACCATTACTAACATTTTAGTGCTGTTCTTCAGGCTATCTCTGTAAGCGTATATGTGATCTATAAAATACCAGTGATCTATAAAATTTATCATTTTTCCATTGTAAAAATCTTTAATAAAGATATCCTTTGTGTGTGTGTGTGTAGGGGGGGGTATTGGGGGTTGAACTCAGGGAGGAACTGTCACCAGGCTACATCCCTACCTCTTTTTTCACTTTGAGGCAGGGCCTAGCTAAGTTGCTGAGGCTGACCTCAAACTTTTGATCCTCTTGTCTCAGTTTCCCAAGTCACTGAGATATCACAGCTGTGCACCACCACATTCCGCTTACAGATGTTGTCATGTTAATGTTGGCTCTGACTGTTATTGGTGGTAACTTCACTTGCTATTACATAATTAAAGGTTGGGAGAAAATATTCAAGAGACAGCCTTGTGTATGCTTCATTTTGTTCTTTTTCCGTGTCAGAAGTCACCAAAATTTGAGTTTTTAGTGTGGGTTTTTTTGTTATTGTTTCATATAAACAAGGATGCAGTGGATTGTAGCTTCATAAACAGTTTTAAAAAACTTATCTGTTTACTTTTTTTATTCCTGATTATCAAAGTAATGTCTGCTCATTATAGAAAATATGGAGTACAGAAGACTATTTTCAAAAATGGGGGAAAATGCATATCACAAGCCCACATTGCACAAGTGGCTCCTCTTAATATTTTGGAATAATTCTTCTGTTCCTTTTGTTTGTTTGTTTTTAACACTATGTAATTGTAAACATGATGAGTACGTATAGTGTATATACAATTTTACATCCAGCTTTTCATTTTCCATTTGGCATTAAAGACTTTAGCATTTCCTTGTCATTATAATGGCCATTTCTAATGGCTGCTAGTTTGTCTTGAGGTTTTACCCATGATTCACTTTTTGAAGCCCTCTTTTTGGACATTTAGTTTGTTTTAATTTTTTTTTTTTAAGATTGCAGTGCATATCATTATAAGTCTTTATAATTCCTTAGGATAGAATGTCCCAAGTGTGGAAGTACTATGTAGAGGAAATACATATTTTTAAAGTTCTTAGTATATACTGTCTAAATCACTTAAGATTTAAAAAATATGTGTGCTAAAATTTTGCCTTTTCTAACTCGAACCTAGAAGTTTTAATGTGAGCTTAAAATATTGATGTCTTGAAACTATTGTTTTTACTCCTACACTATACAGAGAAGATTGTTTTTTTAATATAAATTCATATAGCCTTTCTAGAGGATAGTATGGCACCATATACCAAAACCCATACATTTCTAATTCAGTTAGTAACTTGGGAATTTATCCGAATTAAATTGTTAATAATTTTTTTATCTAAAGGGATGTTCTTTGATGTATTATGTATAATAGCTGTCTAAATTTCTGACAGTGGGAAAATAATTGTTTTATAGCTACTCATTGAAATCTGCATTGAAAAACAGTAAAAATATTTTTATAGACAGGAAATTTTTTTAGAATATACTTTAAGTTATATAACATGATGCCATTTTTATAAAGAAGAGTCACATATACATAGAACAGTTGGCAGCTTATATATATCAGATGATAGGATTATGAACAATTTCTATTTCATTTTTTGTGAGTTTTTTTAAATATTTATTTTTCAGATTTTTTTTGGTGGACACAACATCTTTATTTATTTGTGTGTAGTGCTGAGGATCGAATCCAGCACCCCGTGTATGCCAGGCGAGCGCGTTACCGCTTGAGCCACATCCCCAGCCCCTGTGAGGTTTTCTTTTGAAAGTTTTTTCCAAAATTCTTTTGAGGTCATTTTTTTTTTAAACTTTATAAAAACACTGTTTCTTTCATCTTTGTTATTTTAGAATCAAACGATGATTCAGTTGTAGTTTCTGTCTCAGCCATCGCATCTGACCCCCAAACTCCCCCAGCCCCTCCATACTTCCCCAGCCCTGGCCAGCTCTGCTAAAGAATGACCACGGTCTTTCTGCTCAGGACGCTGACATCTGCCTGCCTGCTGTTTCACCTTCACTTCAGTTTGCTATAAACGGGTCTGTTGAACATTAAAGTACTTGGCAGAAACCACCAGTGACTCTAGCCAATATCCTTTCACTGCTGCCTTTCTCTGAGAAACAGCCTGCTCTGAAATGAGTGAAGCCCGGTGCTGGTGAGGATGAAGGAGGGGAGGGCTCTTGGCAGACTGGGCTGCAGGCAGGGAGGCCAGACTGGTGAGCAGTGGGGATCCCAAGCCAGACCTCAAGAAGGATGACTTGTATGCAAGCCTGTCCCAGAGCTGTGTGCTGTGTTCTTTCCGTATCTCTGTTCCTGCCTTTTATTTCCCTGAACTTGTTAAGTGCAAATGTAATTCTCAAGACAATGATGTTGGTGATAATATCATAATCTTTACAAGTCATATGATAATGAAAGGGCTTTTGCTTTAGAATTAAGATATTCAAATAGAATTAAGAATTCAAATCCTAGCTCCTTTACTTCTGTGCTATGAATGTGTCTTCACTTTTCTGAGCATCTGCTCATCTGAAAAGATTGACGTGAAGACCAAATGAATGATACAGCATATTTAGAAGTGACTCATGGTTGCTTGTCCTTGGTAATTTTTACTCTGTTTGTCCCATGTCATTCCTCTCCCAACCTTGGGACTTTAAGGGTACTAGGATTGATAAATTTTAATGACCCTATCATAGCCAGGCTGGAATGAGGAAGGACTTAGGCCAGGTGCTTAGACCCTTCAGAGGGAGCAGGAGCATCATACTGACCATTATGGGTGGGTGAGTTCCTAGCCTGGCCACACTACTGACTTTTTATGTGATTTGGGGACAGAGCAGTTAATGTTCTATGCCTTGCTTAATCCTCTGTAAAATAGGGATAATGCCTGTCCAGTCTGTACAGGGGTTGTGTGAGATGATTGCATTAATTGAAGGAACAGAGGATGAAAAACTTTGGCAAAGTAGGAACAATTATGCAACAGGCTGGTGAAAAAGTCTTCATAATATGTTAAAAAGACCTAATTGTATCCCCTATGTTGTGAGGATTCTGTGCAACAAAATGTGTGAAAATGTAGCCTAGTGAACATGTAGTATCTGGCATGTAGTGAACATTCAGTAAGTGGAAGCTGTTCTTGGTATGTTGGTGTTGATTATCAGTATTTTAAGAAGTCAGATAGAGATGGAAAAGATGAACCTGCAGGTAGACTGTTCCCAAGGACACTTTGTACTTATAATATGGTAAAAAGTTAGTAAATATTTCCATTGATTGATTAATTTGAAAAGAAGTTAGGAAATAATAGTAAAAATCACAGTAACAACTATTTGCACAGAAAATACCCGGTTTTAAATGTGCTCATATGTTCATGATTTTGTTTAACCTTCACAACCACTCTCTGAGGAAGGGACTGGCATCCTTATTTGATAGATAGGAAACTGAGGCTCAGAGTGGGAAAATGACTTGCACATTGCCTCTCCATGTCGTCATATTGTTACCCTGGGTGCTGTCTCTTCTTTTTTTTTCCATCCCTATGCCAAACTGTACTCAGTGCCATTTCTGTAGAGGAGGCTTATGGCTGGAGTGCTGCTGGGCGGTGTGCTCCACCTCGTGCAGAGCAGTTGCAGATGCCAGAAACATTTCAAGGGGTTTTGACTGGCTTAGTGAGGAGAGACCAAACTGCCATTCTAAATTCAGTCTAGAAAAGTGTCTGGCAACCTCAGGAGCTTTACTTTTCCAGCTTAAAACTGTACAGCTGTTGCTATGGTGAGAGATGGCTGCCTCCCTACATGGGAGGCAAGTTGCAAGTCTTTTTTAGTTTCTACTCTTTCTAGCACATTCAGTTTCCAATTCCTGACCAAAGCTTGGGGTTCACACATCAAAATGTCAAACACAGATCCTGGGCAGTATGCTGCTACCCTCAAAGCTTCCCATCTAAGCTTCTTCCCTTCAGTCCCATATAGATAGAGGGTGAGGCTTTAGTACCTAGTAAATCATACTGGCTTTTTTTTTTAAATTCTTAGAGACATATATATATGCTTAATGCAGAAAATTTGGAAAACAGAAAAAGCATAGAAAACTTTAATAATTATTCACTTACTAAATGCTTTCTGAGAACTTGAGATGTGCTAGGTGGGATGTGACTGATAAGAGACATGAATAATATATTTCTATCTTCCTATCACTAAAAGATAACCACTGTTAATATTTTGGTAAGTTTCCTTCTTCTTTTAAAAAATATGCCTTTTTTTTTTTCTTTTTTCTTTTGGTACCAGGAATTGAACTCAGGAGCATTCACCCATTGAGCCCCAGCCCCAGCCCTGTTTTGTATTTTATTTAGAGACAGGGTCTCCTGAGTTGCTTAGTGCCTCACCGTTGCTGAGGCTGGCTTTGAACTCACAATCCTCCTGTCTCAGCCTCCCAAGCCATGGGAATTACAGGTGTGTGCCACCATGCCTGGCTAGGCCTTTTTTTTGTTTACATATTTTATAGATTATTTCTAATATATAAAATATATATACATATGTACATAGACATATATACACATAGACCTATATAAAAAACATACATATATACATATAAATATATATATAAAATATACATATATATATAAAACATATACACAGAGTTTTGAATCTTGATTTTGCTTTAAGTGAAGGATAACATGAGTATGTCTCTATTTGAATTATCAAAGTTTTATTTTTTTGTAGTTGTAGGTGGACAGAATGCCTTTATTTTATTTGTTTTTATGTGGTGCTCAGGATCGATCCTAGTGCCTCATGCATGGTAGGCAAGTGCTCTGCCACTGAGCTACAGCCCCAGCCATAGTCTCACCCATTTTTAATGACTGTATATATTCAGCCCCTTCTCTATTCCATAACTTTGGGTTTTCTGATTTTTCATTATTAAAAATAAAATCAGGATAAATATCTATGTGTTTAGAGCTTAAAAATTTTTCAGATCCTGTTCATATGATAATTTCCCAGTTGAGAATTCAGGGATTAAATGATAGGAACATTTGCATCATTTAAATTCCTATCAGTGATCTATGAGCTTATCCATTTTACTATAGCTTGCTAGCATTGAATATTGTAATTAAAAAACACATCAAATTTTGCTAACTATGATAGCCAAACTGTATCTTGTTTCAATTTGCATTTCCTCAGTGTCTATTGAATTTTCCATGTTTGTTAACCAGATGTACTTCATCTTTTTTGAAGGCGTTTTTTTTTCTGCTTAACTCTTGGGATCTTAATATTCTTTTTATCAGTTCATCTGAAAACATTCTAAACTGGTAGACTAGCTGAGGTGTAAGAATTCTAGAGGCCCATTAAGAGACAGTCTGGCTTCTTTGTTTCATATAATAGTTAAGAGTGTGGGCTGTGGAGTCAGACTACCTTGGCTTAGATTTTGGCATTGCAGCTTTCTAGCTCTTTACCCTGTAAGTAGTGATCCAACTGTCCCAGTTTCCTTATTTGTAAAATGGGAACAGTTATAGTATCTGACTCACAGGGTTACTGTTGGGAATCAACAAGAATGTATATTTGAAGTTCTTAGTACGGCTGGCTGGTACTCAGTTAATGTGAACTTTTATCACTGTAATTTTTCCTAGATAACCTTTTCATATTTCTGGAATGTTTGTCCCCTATCTTTCTGCAGTCTTGGTTATCAAGCTATCTCATTTTGTGTTCTTGCAGATCAGCCAAATGGCCGATGACACAGTTGCAGAGCTAGACAAGCATCTGGCAGTGAAGACCAAAGAACTCCTTGGATGAAAGTCTGTCAGAGCCCAACCACACAACAGCCAGTTTCTGGTGGATCCCATGGGGGCAAATTGGCACTTCCCCCCCCCCCCACCCCGTCTCCATCCACGTGGAAGTCTGTCACTGTGCTGTCAGTGCAGGGAAGGCTATGCCTTCCAGTGGGATACTCAGATCTGCTCATTCTCTTCCATCTTCCCCCTGCTCACCCCATTCTACTCTGAGCCTTCTGGCCTGATTAGCCCTCAGAGAACATCTACTGCTGGCAGAGCGTCTTTACTTGGGCATTTGCCTTGACCACGATGTCTCCAAGGGATGGGGATCATTAGCAGGCTTTGAACTGCCTGCTCCTCATCTCAGGAGCCTCCTTTTTCAAACAGTAAATCAAGCCCTGTTCCTAATTTTAAACTCTGTTCAGACTGATGTGGGCCTTCCACTGTGACTGAACCCCTTTGCTAGAGGCCCATTTCCACTAAATGAAAAAATTATAAAAAATCGGAAAGAATAACAGTTACAAAGGAAAGGACATAGTTGGTTGGGGTGGATGATCTCTAAGTACCTATATTTAAAGCAACCAAGAACAGCTTTTGCCTCTGGATCAACTTCATGCATGCTCCATTCTCTGCCTGGATCATTTTTCTACTCCTCATCAACAGGCCAGGCCTGTTTACTTTTCTTATCATGTCATCTGGGAATCCTTCCTTTACCCCCTAACCTAAAACCCTCACTGTTGGCTCTCAGTTCAATCTAATGCTTTTATTTGTACCCAAACTATGATTATTATTATTTTGCCAGTTAGTCTGTGACTTGGCATAATACCCGGAACATAGAAGGCATTCATATTTTCGCATTGTGAATAAGTTGCACATAGTAGCTACCTAATAAATGCTGTTTTTTTCTGTGATGTAACAGTCCCTCTGTCTTTTTCTATTCTTGTCCTTATTCTCAACTTTTACTGTAATTAGATACCTTCTCCACCCCCAGGGCCTACTGCCTGTTGTTGATAGACACGTGGTTTATTTTGGCCCATCTTTGAGTGCCAAGTTAAGTTAACCCCTATCCCCAAATATTTTTTTCTTTCATCCATTCACAATATAGCCACTGTGAGCTAGAGTCGCTAAAGCTTTATAGTTATAATGCATAGTAAACTTAACAGGTGTATATTACCTCCTTTTAAATAAGAAAACTGGAGCTGGCCTGTGTGGCATATGCCTGTGATCCCAACTACTGGGAAGGCTGAGGCAGGAAGGCAGCAAGTTTGAGGCCAGCCTCTGCAACTAAACAAGATCCTGTTTCAAAATAAAAATTTAAAATGTCTGAGGATATAGCTCAGTGGTAACCTATCCCTGGGTTCAATCTCCAATGTCCAATCTCCCCCACAAAATAGCAAACTAAGATTTGACAATATTAGGCACTGATCCTCCTCAAGTAACAGAGCTGGAAGGTGGTAGAGGATTTTTATTATTTATGGTCAGTCTCATTTTACAAAGGTAAAGTTTCTTGCCCAGATTTACATAGCTAACAAGTGGCAGAGCTGGGATTCAAATTGAGGCCTGATTCTAAAGCCTGCTCTGCTCACTAATGAGTGGAAAACACTGCTTTTTTCCTACTCTCTCACACTCAAGTGTGGATCACTTCTGTGACGAAGATGTGTGAGGTCTCCCCCAACACGCAGGCCGTTCTCCAGTGGCTACCAACTGTATGTCTTACACTGGACTTCAGTTCTCACCCTATCTACCTGGAGACAGTGTCACATCCCACAGGTTAAGGGCTCAACCCCACAAAACTGCCCCCTCTTCAATGCCAGTCACAAATCAGGGGCTACAAACTGGTTTTCCAGCCCCCTCCTTGACCATGATTCAGGTAATTGGCTGGGATGGCATATAGAACTAAGGGAAACAAGTTTACTGGTTTATTGTGAAGGATGTAGGTGAGCAGCCAGATGAAGAAGTGCACAAAGGCAGCTGTGGGAGCGGGGGTATTACACCGAGCTCCCATGGCCTCTCTGGGCAAGCCACCCTCTCATATCTCCTAGTGTTCAGTCACCTGGAGGATGCCACAGCATCCTGCTGCCTGTGCAAGCATTTAGTGAGCATTGGTTGTTTATCGGATACTGTCCTTTGTGCCAGGAATAAAAAAATGTGCAAGGTGTGACCCATGTTCAAGTGGTAGCTAGTACACCCAGCTAAATTGCTGTTTATAGTGTCTTGGCTGGAGTTCTAGTTCAGCCAGGCATCTGCCTTGGGATTGGAGCTACTGGGACGGCAGCAGACCCTGGCTGAGTTCCTTTGATGCAACATCTTGCTTCTCTCTACTAGTTGACTCCTCCAGACTCAGTCCTCTGCTATAGGTAAGAAAGTTATGCTGTTTCCTCTGCTTATCCTGGTGGGAACTGCTATGAAATAGCCAGTGAGGATTTAAGGTCAGGATTAGGTCCAAGATGAAAGGAACTAACATAATCTCCTGCCAGGTTTACCTGTCCTCACATCTCCTTCACCACCCCTTGGTGGCTAGCACAGGATCAATTGAAGAACAGGAAGAGAGCAAAGGAGCCCCTTTGGGGGCCAGCCACAGGGGTTTGCAACAGTCTTTCATGAGTGGCCGAAATCCCCAACTCACTGCAAATGTGCTTTTCAAAGATGCAGGATTTTTTAATAAACAGAGGAAATGATAAATTATGTTGTAACTCCACTCCAAAGGCATTTGGTTCTTAACAGCCAAATCCTCTGTAGTCTTTAAATAAACAAAAACTTATTTGGTGAACAGACCAGGGAGGAAAGAATGAAAGATTTTCTGTACTTGGGTTCCACATGTCAACAATTTCTCTCCTGTGTGTATGTTGGCCAAAGCTGCATATCATGATAAATGAATAAAGGAAAGTCTCAAGCCCAGGGCAGTCAGATAGCTCAGCAAATGGCTTTCAGCTGATTGCTCCATTTCGGTTGACATTTATCAAAGTTTCTCTGTTGTTCTGTGTGTCAGGGCTGCAGTGGTGGCAGGAATGAGACTACCTGCTAGGATGTGCTGAGTTACGAGGATGCTTGAGCAGTCTTTCCCCCCACCCTCCTGCATTCTCCCTCTCTAAGGTAAAAGCTGTGTTGGAAATTCTCACACTTGGCAGAAGAATTAACCACCTCCTCTGTTCAGTTCATCAACATTTAAAGTTCCATAAAAACAAAACAACCCCCCCCCAACAGGCCAAAGAGCTTTTCCCCACTTTTTTCCTTCATGTGTGTGTATGTGTGTGTATGAAATTATAAAAGAAACAATATAAAGAATTAAAAATAAGGGCTGGGGTTGTGGCTCAGTGGTAGAGTGCTTTCCTTGAATGTGTGAGGCACTGGGTTTGATTTTTAGCACCACATATAAATAAAAAAAGGTCCGTCAACAATGGGGGAAAAAATTAAAAGCAAGACTTCTTACAATTTTCTAGTTTTACCCCCCCCCTTTAAAATCAGGTATATATCCTTCCAGATCTTTCTCTGTACATAAATAATTTTTTAAAGGAGGGAGGGGAACTCTTCTTTCATATTCTGAAGTTTGTTTTTAACCCAGAAATAATGGCCATCTGTGTTTGTACATACAGCATTCATTCTTTCCTTGCAGTACATTATTTTATAATAGGGATCTACTATCATTCTTGCCTCTATAGTATTATTGAATAAGTACACTGGAGAATATTTCTACTCACAGACTTTTTTAATTAAAAAAGGACCCCTGTTCTAAGATAATTTGATAAATTGTGCTCCTCTTTCTGCAACCTCAGACTAATATTGAATACCTACCGTAGACTACATGTAGACCCTTGACATGTGTCACTACCTTTAAACTTACCCTAGTTGATAGAGATACTACAATTTTCTCTGTTTACGTATGAGAAAACTGAAGTTCAGAAAGGGAATACTTGCCTATAGTCAGTCACATAGTTAGTGAGTACTAGAGTAAAATCTCAAATCCAGATTTAACTTTGATGTGAGTCCTTAATCCAAGTGCTTCACTGATTGCTTGCTCAAAATATGGATTGTAATGTTCTGTGCCTGGAAGGTGACGTAAGAGAAGCAGAAGTCTTACTTTATAAAACAATTAGAAAGCTATGATAATAAGAATACAATAACATAGAACAGTACCTGAAGTTTGTTTTTTAACCCAGAAATAATGGCCATCTGTGTTTGTACATACAGAATTCATAGTAAGCACTGAAGATGTGCTATCTGTATTCATAGCCTCCCCTTGCTGATTGTCAGAGTTCTCTAAGTGTCAGAGAACTAGGGAGTAAGCAAATGAGCATGAAGCAGTGAATAATGACAGTGATAGTATTGACACAATGGCTAACTAATATTTAGTTGGTGCTTTTTAGTTTTCAGTGGGCTTCTACATCTTTTATTCCATTGAAACTATTGTGAAAGAAGTTAGAAAAAGATTATGATCAATAAAAGTTCATATCCTGGGGGCTAGGGTTGTGGCTCAGCAGTAGAGCGTGCGAGGCCCTGGGTTCAATCCTCAGCACCACATAAAAATAAACAAAATAAAGGTGTTTTAAAAAAAAAAAACTCATATCCTGAAAAGCCACTTATTGAGGCTTTCTTTGTCCTAATAGATGGTTAATTTTCATGATGTTCTCTTGAAAAGGAATATTTTCTAGGAGGTACACATTTTTCTCTACATACAGGAAATATGGTTTGTAGTGTTTAGTTTTCTCTATCTGAATTTTTTAACCCTTTGATGAGTCTGGACTAGAAGTTATGTATTTCAGTCTTCTGTTACTAACATATCTATTTCTTCCTCCTATAATTTCTGTTTTATGAAAGTGTTGTTTTGATGCATAGCTAGACTCCAAACTCTTATATCTTTATTTTGTGCACTGAGTATGAATTCTGTCTCATTATATACCAAGATCATAGCCCTTGCTTGCTTTCTGTTTGCATTGCATGGTGTATCTTTCCCTGTTTCTTTATTTTTAGCCTTTCAGATGCACCATGTTTTGGGTATGTTTCTTTTTTAGAGTTGGGTTCTGTTCTAGGAACCATTCTGAAACTCTTTTTTCTTATTATTGTTAATCATGGTAAAATACACATATTATTCACTGTCTTAGCCATTTTTAAGCATACAGTTCAGTAGTGTGAGGTACATTTATGTTGTGAATCAACCTCCAGAACACTTTTCACCTTGCAAAACTCAAACTCTTCACCCATTTAATGCTAAACCCCATTTCTTCCTCTTATCAGCTCCTGGCATCACCATTCTGCCTTCTGTCTGTGAATTTGACTACTCTGAGAACTTTGTCTTTTTGTGATTGGCTTATTTCACTTAGCTTTAATTATGTCCTCAAGATATCCACGTTGTTGGGCCTGGGGTTGTAGCTCAACAGTAGAGTGCTCACCTAGTATGTGCAAGGCCCTGGATTTGATCCTTAGCACCACATAAAAACAAACAAACAAACAAACAAACAAGTAAAGGTGCGTCCAACTACATCTAAAAAATACATATTTTTTTTAAAAAGATATCCATGTTGTAGCATGAATCAGATTTTCTTTAAGGCTGACTAATATTCTAGTGTCTGTATATACGAAACTCCTTTTAGTGGTAACTTAAACTCATGTACATTTATTGATAATACTGATTTTAGAGAAGCCATTTACTCCTTTCTTTATAATTCAGTGTTAACACTAAGTGATTTGGAGTATCAACCCTCTGCAGATTAGTGACTAGAGATTATATTAAGGAGAAAGATTACTTCTGCATAGGAGTTCAGTTTTCATTGAATGAAAAATAAGTAGTGATGATCCCTGTATTGTATTCCATTCGTGTAGACTCTCCTTTAATCTATTATATGCTGTTAAATTAGAGCAACCTGAAACTTCTCATTATGTTACTCTTCTGCTCAAAAGCCTTCAATAGCTCCCC